CTACAAGATGATCCTTGAAAGTCATGGCCACATTATGCGATTGACTCCAGCACAACCTCGAGAAGAGCAGCAGAAGATCATTGATTCTTTCTCAAAATGGTCTCACTGGCTTCATCATCCAGTGCATGGCCTACTTTATGGACAGGCTCTACACACCCTTCAGCCACCTCCTGGAACAAGAGGAACTATTTTGATTTGGCTAAAGAACACCACTGACTACGTCAAAGTTCAGAAAGAGGATGACAGGCACATGCGACTGAAGAAGGAATACCATGTCCATTGGGACTCAATGTGCACGCTGTACTTCCTCTACTACCCGATTGTGACACAAGAGCCTCCACCTGTGAGTCAACCAGCATCGACAAGCAGTGCACAGCCTTCTGCCATCCAAGGTGACACACCACCAGAGGAGATGGAAGTTGAATCTACTTTGCCATCAGTTCCCTCCAAGCGAATGGAACCTGAAGTGAGATCACCAGCATTGGTGCCAGACAAGAAGCCACGCATCTATGAGGCCTTTCCCAGCTATGACACCTACCAGACGCTGCATACTCTCCATTGGATGCTTGATCGTAAGAAGATGAACCGACTTCGACTACAAGACTTCTGGGCATCCACCATGGAGATTCCAAGATGGATGAATGGCCTGACAATGGAAGAAGTGAATGTGCATTTCTCCTGCCAAGCTGATCAAGTTCGTCAACGACACGCCTCATACCTGGTCCATCAACCTGGAAGCCGCCTTCGGCATGTTCATTTGGATCTGGCCCACGGAGGCAGCTATCTTTCGTTGACGGATGAGCTGAACATCAAAGAAGAAGAGCTGGCAGATCTCTGGCCATTGGTCGAAGAAGCAGATGCTAAGGAACTGGCACAGTTCGTCCAGGAGAAAGCATTTGAGAAGGTGCTTTTGGAAGACATCCTGGCCGACACCGTGGTGATCGATGGCATTTGGGTGCGATGCTGGAAGTACAAGCAAGGAAAGAAGATCTTGAAGAGCCGGATGTGCGCCAGGGGCTGCTTTGACCCTCAGAAGCAAGAACTATCCACTCGTTCCACCACGGCCTCCCGATTGAGCCAGAGGATTCTGTTGTCAACGGCAGCGGTGATGAACTGCCTTCCTGAGTCCTGGGATGTAAGTGGTGCTTTCTTGAAGGGCCTGACCTTTGACCGCATCCGCGAGTTGTTGTTGAAGCAAGGCATCAAGACACCTATCCGATCTGTTGTGGTCATTCCTCCCTACAACAGCTGGAGACACTTGGCAAAAGTGGACCCCTCCTTCCACCTTGAACCTTGGGAGATTCCACGCTATGGTCTTTGGTGTTTGAAGCCAGTGTACGGCTTGAACGATGCACCTGTCGCGTGGCAGCTGAGTTTGGAAGAGTTCTTGAAGAAGCAGAAAGGTGTCGCCTCGCATCTCGACGACAGTTTTTATTTTTGGAAGGATCCAGCATGATCCAGCCAAGAAGCCCGCACTGCAAGCAGCTCTCACGACTCATGTGGATGACCTGGCAGTTGCTGGCTCTCCCTACTTCCTTGACGGTCTCTACAAGACCATGTGCAAGGAATTTGGCAAGATCACCAAAGAAAGCCTTCCATTTTCGCACTGCGGCTGCAGATATAGCCGCACCTCTTCAGGTCTGAAAGTGGATCAAAGTGACTTCGCCTCTCGACTGAAGCCGGCACCAGAACCTTCTGGACCCGATGATCGAAAGCTGACGCCAGAGGAGATCACGCAGCTTCGCTCTGTCATCGGAGGTTTGATGTGGCTATGTTCAACGCGACTTGACCTGGTCGCTGACACTGGGGTACTTCAGTCTTCAGTACCAAATGCTCAGGTGCGCCACCTTCGCCTGGCGAACCAAGTCGTGAAGAAGTTTTGCTCTCCAGATAAGCTTGACCTTGGCCTTCACTACCACTTCTTTCGGCCTGGCATCAAGCTGCGACTTTGCTGCTTCCACGACGCTTCATCCGCCACCAAGGGCAAGAGTTACGCCCAGGAAGGCATCATGGTGCTGCTCATGCCGGAACTGAATTCACGATGACATGCTCCGGCAAGATGAGATCACATGCAGCTCAGAGTGTGCCAAAAGGCTTTGTTGTTTTGGTCATATTTTGTTTGCCCATGGAGGGAAATCTAAGCGGGTTTCATACTCCACCAGCCATGCTGAAACTTTGTCAGCAGTGAACGGTCTAGAAGCTTCATCGATGGTGTCAACAAGATTGACTGAGCTTTGGCTGGATGAACCTGCGCCCAACTTGGCCACACTGACCAAGTACCAGGAAGGTGGATCTTCGATCTTCCCGGTCGACTCGGTCACAGATTGTCGAGATCTGTTTGAGCTGGCAACAGGTGCCAAAGGAGTTCCACAGGATCGCCTTCAACGCCTCTACATCTTGGCGATCAAGGAGGCAAGAGTGAGCGGTCGTTTGCGCTACCTGATCCTGGCTCCGACGGGATCCATGTTGGCAGACAGTTTGACCAAGCCCATGCTGTCACTTCGAATGATGATGTTTTTGAGCACCGGCTATGTGGAAGTGGAGAACTCCGGTGACCACCGAATCCTCCTCAGGAGACTCCCGACTTTGTCTGAACTACAGGAAGAGGATTTGTTCAAGAGTGACAAGCAGATCAAGGATGAGGTGAAGTTGAATGGCCGTGGAGTCACTTCATGGATGACTTTGGGTTTTGCGCCCTTTCCACGGTTGCTGCTGGCCTCAATGATGATGTACTCAGTGGCTGCCCAGAGCGATCAGCCCACAGAGCACCACGCCACCTATGACTATGGCGACCTCTACATGTTCATGATGATGTTGCTCTTTTACATGACCATGAGGTTCATGGAGTACATGTTTGTTTGGTGCACGAAGCCCACTGAAAAGCAGAAGAAGAAGCACCGAAAAGAGAAGGAAAGCGATTCTGAGAGCGGATCTGAGCGAGGCCCGGAAGTCGCAAGCGCTTCCAATGCTGTCGTGAACCGAAGTTTGAATTTGGAACCTCCAAAGCCGAGTACAGAGTTCCTATGGTTCAGTACGACAGGTGAGTGTTTTCATACCACTCCGAACTGTTCTGGAATGAAGAATTCCAAGAATAAAGTCCGAAAGCGCAGATGCCTTAACTGCTGCACCATCCATCACCAGAGCAGAAGCGGAGTTTGAATTTTCATGTCTTGACGTCCCTAGAGTTTTTGCACCGCAGGGTACCCTTGAAGCTCGAGTGAAAACAAGTTCTACAGTGAACTTCCATATTTCGATACTTTTGATCATGATAGCAATATATATATATATATATGAACCGACTTGCTCGGCTACGTAGCGACTCGATTTTGGCCGCTGGGCTCTGGAGATTTTGGCAGATGGTCAGCTAGCTGGTTTCTCAGGTTCTGGGCGAACGCATGGCCCTAGTGGAGCATTTGTTTGCTCCAAAGGTCCCTCAAAACTACACCCTGACAGTGGTCCCATGGAAGACTATCTTCCATTATTTTCCTCAACCAGGTTCCATGTTAGTCTTCCAGGGTGTACTCAAAACCGGACTTCAGACAGCCCCCCTCACACCAGGCTTCAGGTCAGGTTCAGCGTTCCCTCCGGATTCGGCGGATTCGGCATGAACACTGTTTTTTTTTGTTCTGTGTCCTTCGCCTTAAAAACCAAGGAGCCAAGTTCATGAGCGAGTTCGATGTTCATTCCCAAGGTGTTCGATGTTTGTTTATTTTTCGGAGAAAAAGACCTTCAACTAACTGTGTGCGGGAAAGACTCACCGGCACGGAGCAGTACAGGCTTTGGGCTGCAGAAGCCAAGCTCCGAGCAGAGAAACTTCGTTGCCTTTCGCTTCAATGGAGCAGGATGCCCAAAAAGTGCTGGCGCTGGTGGGCGATTTGCAGTGTTCCTTTTTTCTTTGCTTTGAGGCACGTCAAGGTGCGGTTTGGTTAGAGAAGGTGCTTGGCTGGGATGTGGTAAGGCTGGGATGCTGAGGGTGATCACATCACCAGTGAATCGCCTCGCCTTCGGATCTGCGAAACCCCATCGCTACGAGGAGCGATCGGACGCTACTAGGAACAAGGACGCTACTCGCTACTAGTAACCAGAAACTACTTGTAACAACGGCATCGCTACTAGTAGCAAGGTGCATCGCTACTACAAAAGGGGAAGAGAGAGAGAGAGAGAGCGAGGGAGGGAGGGAGGGAGGGAGAGGGAGTGAGGGAGTGAGAGGGAGAGAGGGAGTGAATCATTATAGGCTCGCTGGGCAAAGTATGACTGGTGGGGGTATTGGATCTCATTGAACAACGTCATTCTTTGGACATGGGGCACCATGGGGTCCAACCTCCAACCTCGGTCAGAAGACATGCATCACATGGCTCCAATCTTGGAAGACGTGATGTATTACTGAGAAGCCTTGGCATGATCACGCTACGTCCGATGGTAAAGGGTGCTGATGTCATGGAAGGATCAACCATCAATACCCATCCGTTTTCCAGGATGTGGTCCAGGATGATGGGTGCCGTCACCGCAAATCTGAGACCTTTGGCAATGGCTTTCACACAGCTGGGCTTTCCTATATGGGTTGGCATGTGAAGTCCTCCAGCCTGTGACACAGCTAGGTATGAATGGATCGGAGTCCACCCGCTGGGTCATCCAAGACCCCGGCCCTCCGACTCTACAGCTACCAGCACCCGACTCTACGGTGACTCTACAGGTGAGCCCTCCGTGTTTCCTTGTGACAAGTCCGGTGTCCAGAAACCACCTGTGGTCGGGTCTCCAAACAGGCCAGGAGGGTCCTGGAGGGTCCTGGTAGTTGGGATCCTGGGGATCCTTGTTCGGTGGGTTTGGGCCGGCGGCATGGATACCGATCAGCCAGTCTGCAAGAACAAGCTTCCCCCCCAGATTGTATAAATCCCTTCACTTGGGGGGGTTGAAATATCATCAAGACCTTGACTTCTGAGTTCAGGCAGGTCCCATGGACAATGCCTGCTTCGTTCACTCATCAGAGAACAAAAACTGAGGCATGGAGAAGAGTTCGAATTCGGCCGCCTGGAGTTGAACGGCCTTTGACCACCGGTCGTTTCAAGCAAGAAGTGGTGCGTCCGGGATGCGAACTCGGGATGGGACGTCCCCAGAAGACCCCTTTGTAGGAGGCTATAACAGGACCTACAAACAAAATATAAAACCAAACCCACCAGTGTATGGTCTCCAGTTTCTTTGGTAGAATTCAGAACTACTTGGCAACTGGAGCTGAGCTGGAGAACTGTACATACGCTCCCTTTTCGGAAGCGTGCAGTGTCCACCATCTGTGTCATCCGAACTCGGCGCCGCGCCATCCACGGAACCGATGATTCTTCCACCAGCACCGAACCCAACAGGTCTCCGAAATGGAGGGTTGTTAGGCCCTAACAGGGAGTATATAGTAGTTATGAATCTCGCATCTCGCCCATGTTTTTGTGGCATTGCCCTGGTTCCATGGTGCTTCAATGGTGGAACTCAACAACGCGGTGTATGTGGATGGGGGTGTTGTTCGACTGGTGTGCAGCTTGTGATGGTGATGGAGGTTTGTTGCCCAGACTTGGGGGCTGGAGATCCCCAGTTCACCACTTTCCCACACATCCAGACGGGTACATGAGCAGCCTTTGGATGTGGTCTCGGTGCTTTCAAACTTCGTGTGGTCTTGGTGTGGTCATATGGGGCGGAGAAATCAACCCTCCCCGTGCGCAGTCGTCCGACCGGACCCGGTCGTAGCCCTGCCCTTTGGGGGCCGAGCAAGTCTGCGGTTTTGGAGTGTGCATGTGTTTACATAGCCAGAACCCATTCAAACACTTGGCAGGATAGCAAGCATGTTGGAGGACCTCCCATAACCTCCCGCCAACAAATTTACATGGCTTCCTGGAGGTCAACCCCGTACCAGGACCGACACCAGTCGAGGTGTCTGTCGATAGCCTCGATTCGAAGTGATGAAGAGGTGTCCAAAAGCCACCGAACGAACGGTTTCGGTCCTGGTAGGAGTTCATGGTCTTTCCGGGGGCCATGCCATGCCACGTAACATCCGATTCTTCCGTTCGGAGCGTAGATCTGCACCGCACCGTTCTCGAAAAATTGGGCACGTGCAACACTCGAGAAATGGATGCCCAGTACTCAGTGCATGTGGTATCATCACTTATGGCCTATGGCTCTCTTTATGTGGAGAGCCCTGGGATGTGAAGCAATTTCAAGTAGACATGTTGCTTCGACATGCATCCCGAACGTGGATCACAGAATCGTTCAACAGCAACCTCTCTCTTGGGTGTTCCACTGCAATGACCGGTTTGGCCCTGAAAAACCATCCCCCGAAATGGCTCCCATCGGTCGGGGTGTTCGGAGCCCGGGTTTTGGCTCCCAGGTGTCTGGAGCTGATCCAATGGCCAGAATCGGTCGAATCGGTCGAAGAACTGAGGAGAGATCTTCATCCATCAGATTATTGAGACCATTGAGTTTGTCGCTTGGTGGAAAACACGGCTAGGTATATAGCAAGCTATAGCGTTCAAGGACTTTTGTATGACACAGAGCCCATTCATGCGGAGGTTTGGGAAGACGATGCTCTTTTAAAGTAGTCACACACACACACTTTTCAGAACCACTAGGCTTTCAGTGAAAACAAGATGAACCTTCCGTGTTGTCAAGGGGATCTTCCTCTTTGGTAGAGGGCTCCTTCGTCGTTCGTCAGAACCAAACAGATCAAACAGAGACAGGCAAGATTCAGGATGGTTTTGGATGGTTTTGCTTTTCCTTCTTTCAGAGGGTTTAGGAAGAGATCTCTCTTCCTTTTTTTCGAAACGCACCCATGTGTGGCCACCCCAGCACTTTGCAGAATTGGGCACCCAAAGATTGATTTAAAGAAAGCATGTCTCCGATGTGCTCAACTTTTGGAAATCACAGGATTTTTTGTCCAGTGAGCCTCAGTGAGCCCTTTAGATGTCGCGAGTTTCCCCATCCTCCCCAACATCAACCATGCCATTTCTACGCACCTACTCAGTCACTACGTACTCCGCAACTGGATTACGAAAGCCAGCCTTCGTAGAAGGCGCCAGCTGAGTTGTGTTTGGCGAGCGAAGTGAGTAAGTAGGGTGTCTGGCGGGGGGTGGCCTGAGAAAGCACTGCGTAAACTCGAAATTAGGTGGTGTTTAGGGTGCACGGAAGCAATGTTTTGGAGGTTGTGTTGGAGGTGATTTTTTGTGATTTTTGAGCGGCTGGTGATGTAAGAAATGCAGTTTTCTTCATTTGCATCATTTGCGTGGTAAGGTGTAGTTATACCGAGGCCGATGTGTTGTAGCTTCGTGTTATATGTTCAAAACACTAATGAGACTTCAAATCCGTGGGCTGCTGCACGTTTCTCCAGGTTGCTGCACGTTTCTCCGTGAAGTGCTATACCTGACAACTGAATTGTAGCGGTAGACGGAAAGGGAAATTGACGTGCTAGACCTGGCAACTGAATTGTAGCTACCCTGGGTCCGTATAAATGCTATTTTGCTATACTACCTCTTACATACCTATATAAGTTCAAAACACGAATGAGACTTCAAAGTTCTGGATTGTTGCGCGTTTCTAAAGGTTATCGAGCGGTTGACGGACAGGGAACTTAAAGTATACTGGTATTCGCGTTTGTCACGGTAGCGGTTGATGGAAAGGGAAATTGAAGTGCTATACCTGGCAACTGCCTTGTAGCTGCCCTGGGTCCGCGCGCGCGCGCGCCTAAATCTAGGGCAGATCGGGAGCCAGCAAGGCGCGCGCGCGCGCGCGGACCCAGGGTAGCGGACCCATTGTAGCGACCGCTGCACTTTACTATCTCTCTTCACAACGTGCTCGTGGACAAAAATCGCTGGCTTTCGTTTTGCAGCTTCTCAGGTGGGTTTTCTGTTTGCTACGTGGCGCGCCACACCGGAAAACGGTCCTGGAGCGGTCCGCCCAGGTCTTAGGCACCGTCTCGCACACGGCCTCCTATTTGCGCTTCTCGGCGTGGACAGATCAGTTGGTAGGGTGTTGGATGCCAGGTAGTCAGCCTGGGTGTCCACAGATGGCTGGGGGCCGTCCAGCCAGGACACCGACGGCTGACAGGATGCTCCTGGGTAGGTGTTGGATCGAGTGAACTACCACCAAAGCAACAGTCTCGATGGAGAGGACGGGTGAAGTGGCTTTGTTGGGCCTGTAAATTGAGTTCCAGCTGACCAGCCACGCTCTAAACGGTAAACTGTTGCTTCACAGCTGTGAGCCTATGATGGACAGTTAATGGTTGCAAAATGTTGAAAACAAGTTCCGACTCGAGATCGAATCCATATTTCAAAAAGATCCATGTCAAGAGGTATGGTGGTTCTTTTTTGCGCCCACACCCCAGAAGCTATGTTTGTTGTTTCCCCTCTTGCTGGTGCCCCGAGTCAGCGCACGGGTGTGATGAGTCAGCCATGACAATCGATCAAAGCAGTGGCTTTCGCCTCTCATTTTGCTCGTTTGACTGGTCCTGCTCCGTGTTGGACGTGCGCGACGCTAAGTGGCGCCCGAGGCATTTGGGCCTTGTCCCTGGCGCATCAGCAGCTGTCCTTGGTGTTCTTCCAGAAGACCATCACCATGGGCGACTGGTCGAATTCTGCCGGGTGCGACGGCTCGTTCTTTGAGGGTGCTGGGCGAAAGAGAAACATAAATCCCATAGAAATCGGGGATTTGCAGGGTTGCAGGGCATACGAAGCAGTCCAAAGGGGTTCAAGTGCAAGAATGTGCAAGATATTAAGTAATTTCAACTTTGTCGTTGACGTAACGTTGGACGAACTCACTGAAGAAAGGGTCGACGAGTCCCAAATTCTGAGTGCTAGAATGCTAGACTGAGATGGTTCGGCACTGAGATGCACTGGGTACCTGAACATGAGCGATGAATCTTCGGAAGGTTCAACTCCTTGGAGGTGTCGTCCAATCCTCAGCTGCTAAATAGGCAGGTTTCCTTTTTTCTATCGAGCCATAGGCATCAGAGAGATGAGAGGTGATTCACACCCGACTAATTAGCACTTCAAGACACCCACGAGCACCCCTTTGCTTGCTAAATCCGTTCGCTGTCTCCCATCAACATGGACCAAAGGCTTTGGGGTGTCCTTCGGCTGCCCCCAGACACGGTGCCCATGTGTTGTTTGCTACTGCTGCTTCGCCCACTGTGAAAAACCATGGAATTTGTTTTCATTTGCTGCGAGACCTGGGCAGTCGTCTTTGTTTCTTGAATGCTTGGGGTGAGAGGTTGGGCAAGTTCAGGCCTGTCAAAAGGCGTGACCAGGACGTTTGGGCGGGTGACCAGGACAGGGCATGAAGGGATGGTTTGATGAGTTTCTTGTCCTAGAACGGAGGAATCAGGGGATCATTGAAGGTTGATTGTTTCTTTTGTTGTTGAAGACCCAGCAACGAAGGAGTTTGTTCCGCCCAATAGTCACCTATATGATAACCTATATGTATACCCTTTTCATCCCTTTTCCGTATAAGTTGACACTCAATGAATCCTTCAGAAATCCAAAACGGAATCGTTCCTTGTGGCACATCGCTTCGTGGGAGATGCCACGGAATCTCGGAGAATCGCTCAGGTTTGGAGATGTCATTCCCTTTGAACGGCATCGTGATTTACCTGATGTTCGGCGCTTGGTTCGGCATTACACTGGCAGTGCTGTTGGGCATGGACGTCTTAGAGTCGCCTGGCAGAAGTGGATGGGGAGGGGGAGGGAAGCTTCGGCTCTGGGTCTGAACTGGGTCATGTCTTGGGAAGTGAGGATAGATGTACTAGCCTTATTATTGGGATTGTTGGCGGAGGTTGGCGGTTTGATAGGGCGGCGTGCTTTTGGAAGCTAGGCGCGACTGTGCTTCTACTAGGGAATGTTTTGGTTACTGCGGCGACGTTCAGCACGAAACAGCAGACATTTGTGGGAGTGGAAGTGTTCAGGCAAGCCGCGGCGAGCCTCGCTCGCTGAAGGAGTGGATCAACCGCTTCGGCTGCAAACAGACACTCCAAACCAATACCTTAAGCCTTAGGGTCAGATGAGCTGTTTCTTGAGGCAGGATTTATGTCCGGATGGAGATGTTATTTCAAGCATCTATACTATATACATAGATTGATTGGTGTTGGTTCTTGACGGGACCCATTCACGGCCTTCTTCGGTTTGGAACCTGCCGACACCAGTGCCGCACCTGCCGCATTTTGGCAGACCTGGGCCGATGTGGAGCCCGACCTCAGGTGCTTCTTGCACACCTTGCGTTTGCATTGGGTGGAGTTCCAGAGCAAGTTCTACAAGGCGCCCCCTGGACCCAGAGTCGGTGCCTCGTGACGTTGAAATCATCCTTGGGCCAGCGCATGGCCAGCGCCATGGCCATGGCATGGCCCTGGCCGTTCTTCCAGACCATTCTGCGGAAGACATCCGAAGGACCGAAGCAGGTGGTGAACTTTGCTTCGATTCCAGGGAGTTCTTCGTGATCGATGGATCCCTGTTTTTGTTGAGCCCAGATCGTCCGCCGAGTTTGCACGGAACGGACGGTCAGGCAGAGGGCCTCAAGTTCGCGCCCTTCTCCATCCAGAAGCTGGTGACGCCTACGGATGAGTAGAGTACAAGGTGAGATATGCCATGGTCAAGTGTAAGGGGGCGTGGAGGGTACAGTGAGAGGAGGGTACAGAAGAAAGATGGGGATAGGCGGGATAGTGATAGAAACTTTCAAGTATTCAAAGTTTGGATCAACTCAAGGATACTCAAGGATACTTGGATCAACTCAAGGATACTTGATAGGATCAACTCATATTGTTGTCGTGATGTCGTGCATTGGTGGACTTACATGAGAATGAATAGGTCGCCGAGGAGACCCCCTCACTGCCCCACATCATTGCCAATGGACCCAAATGCAAAAGTTGCTATTGGAAGTAAATCAATGGCTTTGGACCTTAGAGCTGAAAAACACCCTGGAATCCTAAAAGTAGCTGCCCCCACAGTGTACATAAATGTGGTGAAGTGGATGAAGATCACTTCAAGCAATATTAATTTGCATTTTGGCATGGTCCACATCATTAGTAGACTATTGCAGAATGACTACAGTGACTACATGCTGCTTTTTACTGGAAACGTCCGTTGCCAAATTAATGGTCTTGGTCCCACAAATGGTCTTGAGTCTTGGTCATAGGGGCAAAATCCGCTGATCTTCTCCAAGACCCCTTTTTTTGCAGCCCTCATTTCCCCAGAGCTTGCCTCGTTTTTCTGCATCAGCCAGGGTGTGACGGTCCACCAGAGTGCCCAAGTGGTCCAATCGGGCCCAGAGTACGTTTCGTTTCGGGCGCGAGGGGGTCACTCGGGCGGTGTCCTCAACGGAGGACGTTTTGATTTAGCCATGGGAGCAGGGAGCTGGAGGGGCTCGAGAAGGATGTTGGACAAGGTTGGACTAGGTCCGGTCAGACTACAGAGGGTACAGTGCTGGATACTATAGCATAGCACATCATAGCAGTCATAGCACCGTTCTTGGCCGGCAAACAGCAGATTTTCAGTGTTGAGAAAAGGACTACAGGCAGGCTTTGAGCAGAAGACAGGGAAAACACATCGGACCAAGACCACTTTCTCGAGCTGCTCGCTGGACCTATGGGACTTGCCACACTGCGACAACATGCAGGGTGAGCCAGGACAGCCGCGGCCCGGTGTGCACAGCTTTCAGAGATAGAATGCCCTTAGATTTCATGGCCTGGATTCGTGCATATGGATAGTCAACAATCAATACATTTTTGCACTCTACACATCTCTATACCCACGTCACTCGACTGCAGTGATCAAGCCACGATCGTTCGGCATGTCAACCCAACGACGTCTCTTCACCTTCCGCTGATGCGCCGGCCGTCGGCGCTCCTGGGGGCCATCCCAGCCGTTGTACTGAAAAAGCTCGACGCGGTTCCGGCGCGCGGACGACGGGTCGGACGATGGCAGAGAGATGGGGGGTCCTCCCTGACCGGGCGAAGATGGGCTCGAGGTGAAGGATTCAAAAGGAGTATATTGTCAAGTCTTGGATCAGGGGTTGGACATGGATTTGGGGAGGTCTATGTGGAGTGCTTGGTTTGGGGTGCCAATGTATACCCTTTGACTCACTCGCATGGAAGTGGGAAGAGGTTGGCTTCCCACTTCCATGTGATGTGTTACGGGTGCTTCATGTGATGTCCAGTCGCATGTTTGCACCGCTGGGGCTGGCTTGATAGACCCCCTAGTAACTCAGTGCTACGCAAATCTGGCCTAGATTGGGGTATAGATCCAGGTCTGGGTAGGTTTTGGTGGTGGAAGGCACTGTGTCCGCCGTGCAGCCTGGCACTAGACCGTCCATGTGTCGGGTGAGCGGGGTAGCATTGAGACCGCCAGGCAATGGATGTGGAACGCTTCGAGGAGCGTGTGGAAGCCCGGCGATGAGTTCAGTCATGTTTGTGTCTTGCCGCATGGGTTCACGAAAAGCAATTCATTTCTCCTTTGTCAAGCTTTTGTACTTTTGTCTCTCTGACTCTGTGATACTCTGTGTGTGTGTGTGCGCGTGTGCGTGTGTCCTTGTTTGTATGAAGCCAAGCAGGAAATCAATCTCCAACAAGTTTCAATCAAGCTGCAGGGAGACAGCCAGTAACCTACTCGTCAGCCAGCCAGGGACCTTTGAGTAATGGTTGCAGGCTTTCCTGTTTCCATGGTGACGTGTTGCTGGCTTGGTTTGGCTTTGGTTGATGGGTGCCTCAAAGCATGGCCAGACCACATTCCAGGACGTCATTCAATGTCCATGGGTTCAGTGGGTAGCCTCAGAATTCACCATTACTTCCAAAAAGGCTTCGAACCACCACATCATTGGAGCATCGTCATCCACGCCATGAAAAATGCATGGCCATGCAAGGCCCCCCCACACCCAAGTCCACGTGTCAGTCCACTTCCTGGAAGTGCAGCGCATTGCAGCGCCATTCAGCGATATTCCACTGCATTCCACGGCCTTGGATCCAAGACAGCATGGCATGGCAGCATGGCATGGCAGTTTCGCTCAACTTCCAGACCCCCAGTCGCTGACGAGTCGGGGTTCGGTTTTCATCCAGACGCATCACGTGAGCACCGCACCGCATGAGGAGACGCAACTTCTTCAGCTTCTGTAGACCGCAACATGTGTTGCATGGTTTTTAGTGCCTTTAGGGTTCACCGTGTGTCCCTGCGATGGCCCTTGTGTCCTTGCCATTTGGGATCGCAGTTGGTGCATGCCTGGCATTGGTGTCCGCTGGCGATGCTGGCTGCATGCTGCAGCACAGGGCGAGGATGTTATGTGTTTGACAATCTTGGTGATGAGACTCTTGCATGACACAATAATGAGTCTCATATGTTAATATGTGTCTTGCATGACACTCTTGTAATGCACATTTGTTTGACACAATGTCATCAGTCCCCTCATAAAACCCCCCGAATTCGCCGAGAAGAGCCCTAAGTGTTCGATGTCGCCACAGCGGGCTGATGCACGTGTGCACAGATGTGCACTCCCGGTCTGAAGCATGCCGTTCACGCCGTTCTTTTAACCGTTCTGATGCCATTAGGTAGGGTAGGGGATAACGTTTGGATGGCATGAGGAGGGAGCCTATGATATGCCATCCTCTTGTGGTTTAGACCATTTCCATGCCATCCATCCATCTATAGGGTGAAGATGCTGAAGTGTGTTTGGGGATTTCCCCTGTGAGGCTGGAGATCCGCAGAAAAACCAGACCTACAGTTTCTCGATGGACCTGGGTGGGGCCAAAAGTTCGTGTTTTTGCCACTGGTTCGGTCACTGAGGGAAGGCTCAGTGGTTTTTGAATCGAGGAGCCCAATTGCCACATGGGCAACGCCCATCCCCACGTCCGCTTTGTGTTGGGGATGTTTTTGTTCGTCATGTTTCGTGCAGGATCGCCTCGCCTACCGGAGCGACTGCCAGCTGGGCTCCAGCTACACTTCGGGTTGCAAGACACGTGCCGTGATGGAGTTGAAACCCTGTGAAGCGACAAGTCGGGAGGATCCGCAGGAGCTCAGCGCCTGCATCCAGGAGTTGGAGTGGCCCCAGGCAAACGATTTCTCGCAGAAAATAAAAAATCAGGAGACTCAAGAAGAGGCCATGACAAAGGCAGTGGAAGCCACTGGTGGCGGTTGGGGCTTACAGGTGTCCGCCAGCGTGGATTTTATGTCTCAAAGCACCAGTGCTTCTACCTCAGTCAGCTTCCAAATAGCGCAGGCCAGGCAAGTGCGGAAATCCTTCATTGAGCACGGGCGCACACTGACCTTAGCACCGGAAGCCAGAAAGTTATTGGAACAGAATCCGTGGGAGTTCTTGAATGTCTATGGCGGATACTTTGTACAGTCCATTATTCATGGAGGTTCTTTCGTTGGAACTGCGACTGTGAGATCCCTCGAAACTGGAAGTTCCCAAAGTCTCGGCGCCTATGCTGACTTGCAGTTCAGCGGCACCATGGGCTTCTCAGCAGACTTCAAATCCGTCTTCGAAGAGACCAAAAAAGACACGAGCAGCTTCACGGATGTGCAAACCGACTTTCAACAATTGGGAGGAATCTTGGATGCGCAAGATGCAGAGGTGAAAGATTCAGAGCAACTGGACGCTCTCAACCAGCGGTTTGAGAAATGGAGCGAGACCGTGAGCAAAGCGCCGCAACAGCTGCTCATGAGCTTGCAGCCATGGATGGCCATTGGCGAGGTGCACGAAATCTTGCAAAACTTTAATTCAAGTATCCGGAATCAAATTTTTGCCTAGTATATTTGGTGTCCCCCTGATGTGCTCGCTCATGTGCCCCCTCTATATAGATGTGAAAATATTTTGTGTATTCACTCGCCAAATTCGAGGAATTTGTTCTACCATCAAACTTCCGACCAAGTGGTCGGTTCGCTGACAAAAGAAACTTGGTTTGTGGAAAGCCTCAAGGAAGATGCGGATTCACTTCAGAACAGGCGGTTGCAGGCTCGGTGCGGAACCCACAGCGAATCTTGTCTTCTCTGAGTAGACTTTCCACCAAAAAAACTCTTCGAATAAACCCAACGACTGCTCGCAATGTCAGCAA